GTAACGGGAAAAATTGATTTGGGGGATGTTTCGGACGAGGGTAATTCACAAAGGTAAACCACCAGGGCGGGTTTTTTTACTCCCTGAAGGCAAAGCAACAAAAATTTTTAACTCTTTTTCATATTAATTAAGTACAAAACCCCCCTTTTCGGGGTTTAAAATAATTAATTTACAAATTTTTTAAAAGGAAAAAAAAATTTGACTTTATTGCTAAAACCCGTATCCAAATGACGTAATGCAAACAAAGAGAAAATGGGACATATCTTATATTTATTTCTTTTAGGATAATATAATTTCATGGAATTACTTATTGACTTATTGATCATTAGTTGTCCGAACATTATTTCAGTTCAATTTAATAGAAAGTAAAACCACCAGAACTAAGTAATTGGTGTTTAGTTTCTTGCTCGGTGATATTTTGTGGTAAGTTTTATTGTACTCGTTATTTTGGTGTCATCCCATGATTTGTATGTTTTGATGGCTAACGACCATTATTTGGAGCATAAGTTTCTTCATCATGTTAAATGTTCGCAGTTTAATCAAATATATATGTGGAATTGTTTTATTTTCAGAGCATAAATTATTAACAACTATGATTATACCCGAGGTAGAGCCTTTAATGTCAAGTGAAATATTGTTCCATTGTGAAAGTCATGAATGGGTTTTGATTATTGCAAGATGTGATGGTGTGATTGATTGTATGGATGCCTCTGATGAGAAGAACTGTGCAATCAACAGTTCGTTAAACTTTTTTGTCTTATTTACCGTTGTTCTAAAATCTAATTTACCACTTAACTATAACCACATTTAATGCCAATAATCATCAACATTTTAAAATTTTGTTAGACGTTTCAAAAGCTGTATTCACAAACTGAAAATGGCAAGGATGATAATGTTTGCAATATCGTCAACGGCTAAAATTGATCCTGTTTCAATACATTGTTTATTATGCAATAAAAGACTAACTTAATTCAGTTTACCTACTTTAATTTCAAAGAAACTACAAGACTCAAAAAACTTAGATAAAAGAAGAGAATGTTCCCAGGCCCATGGTATATGCTAATATAAATGTTTATGATTCTTAATTAATAAATAAATAAATTAAAGGAAGGAAAGTAATAAAAATATAGTGTTTATATTGAACAGATTGCAGACAATATCCAGTATCTTATGTTTAAATGCATGTTAGCATACGCTGCTAATTATGTGTTGTTCGTAATAAGTGACAGTTTATTTCTTTGTTTGTCTAAATCTTTTCTTATTCTTCAGTTCTGCTTCAAATCAAATCTCAATCGAAAACGTAATACTTTTTTCATTCATTTTTCATAACAGGTCAGAATTCCAACTGTTCTCAATATCATTTTGAATGTTTAACTGGAGGCTGCATTCATATCAGTCAAGTTTGTGACTTTATTTCCGACTGTCCGGACTCATCTGACGAAAGCTGTGGTAAGTAAATGAAACTTAGTATTGCCGTTCCTGAATAATGTAAACTGTTTAAATCAATAATGTGTTATTCAAATAAAACATTGCCTAATAACGCATCGAACGGCACCTTAAGTATTTCTTTTCCACCAGTAGAGCTGGAAATGCCTCACATAACCTCTATTGTTATGGTGCGACGTAAAACCATACAAAAATGCACATAAAACACATAAAAGAACACACAACATATCAGCAAATTAATACAATACTAACACAATATACAAATGTTGCACATTTTCAACTTTTTTGTTCGTAACAATACTTGATGATGATAACGTATAGATTTCAAAATAACAAGTTATCCATGTATGTATATTTTGTGAATTTAATAAATTTTACGTACTGCCATCAACGTCAAACCTGTAAAAATAGATCCTCACCCTAGATAAAGAAAACAACTTACATTGATCACTTGTTACGAACTGATATATTTACTTTTACATGCTTATATTAAAAGGTATATTTATTGGGCAACAATCATTGTTTTTGTATCTATAGATCACCCACTTTGCCTGAATTCGGAATACCGCTGTTCTAATGGACAATGTATTCCAGAAGATCAGAGATGTGATGCCTTTAAACAATGTATTGATGGGACTGATGAACACAACTGTGGTAGGTCATTGTCAATTACGTAAACATACAGTCAACTTAGTACAGTAACGGGTTAACTTCTTAGTTTACCCGTACATGCCCTCAGGTCACGAATTTTCAATGTCTTAAATTTTTAGTGTAATTATTCCCGGCTATACGTAAGTGTTGTGTATACACAAGTCAACATAGAAAATTGCTGTCAACGTTTTCACTTTTATATTCTACTTAATATTGCATGATTCATTAATAACCCACACTCATGGAAAATCCCGTATATTTCAACGGACTAAATTGTTGATGATAAATAGTATTTAATTATAAACCACTTGTAATATTTCGATTCTCACATTATAGATAGTTGTCATATTGGATCTTTTCACTGCGATAACGTGCGATGTATTCCAAGTAGGCTAGTTTGTGATGATTTTCCTGACTGCGAAGATAGGACGGATGAAGAGCGTTGTCCTTCACCAGAATATTCTTCCTGCAACGACATCTGGACGGCAGGCTATCAAATGAGTGGATTTTATAAATTAGGTATGGCATTTTAGATTTGAATTACTCAGATATCGACTTTCTAAATAATAATCGAAGAATAAATGTAGAATCTCCATTCACCGAAACAGAGAAGCTAGATTACCAGTAAGGATGAATGGGATATTTTTTAAAGAAAAATACTTGATAACCATCACTTATGATTAAGCCAAGATGAGTTACATGCCAAGTTTTGTAGCAATGTAATTGTATAAAAGAGTGATTCAATCGTCAAAGGAATTAACATGTATTTGTTTCAATTAACCTGTAACATAGAATTTTCTAAATGATTATACAATCGGAACGTCCTCGGCTATTTTCTATAATAACCTCGGAAACAATACAAATATAATATAAATGTAAGTTGTTCTACCACGTGGTTGCAGATGTAAACACTAACCGATAATTTAATCTTCGATAATGTAAAACGAATGTATATATTTGACATTCAAAGGAAAAAATTTGTTTCAGTACAATTATGACAACAAATATGTTTGACAACCATTTTTAGCTCGACTATTCGAAGAATATGAGAGCTATTGTAGTCGCCCCGGCGTCGGCGTCAGTGTCCGCGTCGGCGTCTGCGTTGGTTAAAGTTTTTTGTAAAGTCAAATATCTCAATTATTACTTGAGATATTCAATTGAAACTTACAATACTTATTTATAGTAACAAGCTACATCAGATTGACAAGTTGGATAACTCTGCCTACAATATTGACAGAATTATGCCCCTTTTTAACTTAGAAATTTTGGTTAAAGTTTTTTGTAAAGTCAAATATCTCAATTATTACTTGAGATATTCAATTGAAACTTACAATACTTATTTATAGTAACAAGCTACATAAGATTGACAAGTTGGATAACTCTGCCTACAATATTGACATAATTATGCCCCTGTTTAACTTAGAAATTTTGGTTAAAGTTTTTTGTAAAGTCAAATATCTCAATTATTGCTTGATATTCAATTGAAATTTAAAATACTTTTTATAGTAACAATGTACATCAGTTTGCAAAATTGCATAACTCTGCCTGCAATATTTGCATAATTATTTGCCACTTTGAAACTTAGAAATTTTGGTTAAAGGTTAAAGGTCTTCAAATATATTTACTTGACACTTTACACATGCACTTAGGGTCATAATTGGAGGATCATAATTGTATGTCACTGACCGTTCCATAACTCTATCTTGCATTAAGGCTGATTCATATCCCCTTTTCTACTTAGTCTCTTGGTTAATGTTTACATGCAAGTTTTAAATATCTCAATAACTATTAAAGATATTTATTTAAAACTTCACATATGCATTTAGGGTCATAATTGTAGGTCACTGACAAAGATCCATAATTCTATCTTGCATTTAGGCTGATTTTTCTCCCCTTTTTCAACTTAGACATTCTTGGTAAAGTTTTGCTTGTAAGCTGTTATCTCAATAACTACTGAAGGGTTTGTGCCTTTTTTGGGACAATTTTATGCATTCATAATAATAAAGCAGTTATTTACTTGATATAACATCTTAATAACAAGCCTTTGTACCTTTTCTGTCAAATTTATGTATTCATAGGTAATTAGTATTATTATACTCAATTAAACACCCTCGTGACATTACCTTCCGAATAGTCAAGCCAATACTGTATAATTAGACTCTCTCTAAGGCCTATAATATGAATTTATAAAAAAAAAATAGCCCTTTTGTGAAGTTAAAAAAATTAACATTATCCAGGCTCTTTTACTATCAAGCACTTAGAATAGTCGAGCGTGCTGTCCTACCGACAGCTGTTGTTATTTGAATATAACCTCTGATGTTCACTTTTAAACACATCCGACTTAATTTCAACAGGTTGGCATGTTGTACTTTTGGTTTCTACTTCAATAATAATAAGTATAAAAATAATGTACTGTTTACTATTATATCTATGAATTTACTTATTATAAATATTAGATCGGCATTTACTTGATATATTAGATAAAAACTTGTCAACAACTCCCAACAATAAATTAGTATTTGTTTACACGTTCAGTTTCACAGCGTAGGTAGACCAAAATCCCGTTTCCTGTATTCATAATATTGTGTTCAAGGTCCTTATCCGAAGAAAGGGCCGAAAAGTTGCGATTGGTGATTATAGCGTGAGGCAATGTTTTAAAACGGGTGACAATATTCCACAAATATCTTTAAATTGCTTTGAAGAACTGAATAGGTTGAATGTAATGTAAAGAGGAAATGAAAATTTGGTTTGTTGCCAACTGATTAAGAGTTGGCCGCTTAAGCCGGTGCTGGTTGCTAGGGATTATGCACTTTATCATACCCCCTCCCCCAAAAAAGCAATTGTATGTGCTTTGTTATAATCATTGAACGATCTTCCGTTTCATATATTGTTTTGTTTGTTTCAGGTAATACAGAAGTTGAATGTGATTTCAGTAAAGTAAGAACAGAGGGGAAAGTACACACGATATCTCATAATTATGATTTTAATAAACAGTACGTATTTCTAATTTTGCATATATTAAATTACATCAAGCTCGGTTAATTGTATTCTGTATAAACACATAGTTTACAAGGCACATCGGTGTATACATATCAAAGATATATGGCAAAACAATCTCATTTATACTTAAAAATATCATCGTTTACATACTGAAATACAACATACATAAGAACGATTGTAGTAAAGTATCACAGTAGTGTTTGGCACGTTATCCTTTTTGACATTAAAATTGCAATTCAAAATAATTCTTAATAATAAATGTACAGTGTCGCGATTTTACTGTAAAAGAATTGAAATTCTTAAACTTTTTGAGAAAGAATGTTGGTCGCTTTAAAACAAGAATTTTGTGACACCAATTAAGAAGTTATATTGAATAACATTTTGTATATAATTACATAACATATCTGATTTATAGGTCTGTTTGAAAAAAAAATGATATCACAATGTGTTATTTAATAAGTCACATTTTTGTTATGCTAGAAGTAGAACGAATGTTGTATTTTCTAGACTTGACGGATTGCTGATATACTCATATATAAATGAAGTAACTGAAAATCTCGAGGATGGCATTTTTAAATTACTCAAAGACAGAAAGTACACCTGTCAACAAAATGTAAGTAAGGAAATAATTGCAAACATATATTAGATTGAGATCATTGTATTTGATAAAAAGGCGTTTCCATAATGACTGTGTGAAATAATGTAAGCTTGAATGGCAGCGTGGCCGAGTGGTTAACGCGTCGGACTAGTAATCTAAGGATTGCTGACCGCGTGGGTTAAAACCCTGTCAGGAGCAAGCCGTTGTTTCCTTGAGCAAGAAACTTTACATTCATTGCTTAGTACTGGTTGGTTCCAGGAACGGATTCGAGGGTGTTTCAATAAGCTTATAGCTTCCAACAAAATCGAACTTAAATAAATCTGTATAAACTAAATGATGTAAGCTTGTAGAAGTTTAATCATTGTTAATACATCTAATCTAATACGACATAAGATAAAAACGTAAAATCTCAAACTAAAAGAGGAGTTTTCAGTTATCTAAGGTTACATCCACAATATTGCCATTTCTTCATCTCAATAACAGTATCACTGCTACTCTATTCTAGCCTTTTTATGATTACCTTCTCTAATAAATCAATGATATAAATCAGTTGTTAAATGAGAATGATATTCTTGTGGATTTTTTTGTTGAAAGCAATACTTTCAAACCCATCTGTATTTAGCTTAAAGTGAGATTATGTTCTTCCAATTGTAAATGGTGGTAGCGCATCATAAACAGATCGCTTAAATTGTAAAAAAATATAAAAAATCCACGTTATCCACGGGCATTCCAACAAATATTGTTCGGAATATATCATAAGCGTTCAATTTTTAAAAGAGAGTGACAGTCTTTATAATAGGTAGTATTTTTATATTATATCTTTAATATTTTTCTTTATTATTGGTTATTGGCAAATCACCCAGATAAAAGTCAATCTTTTGAAATATATATAACGTATCCACCACAACTTGACATAGACAAAAATAAGCATGATATCACTCTATTTATTTTTTTGTAAACAATGCATCTTTGCTTAACTACTTTCATACAATTATACTGAGAGAAAAAAGTTTAGCAAGTTCGGAAATATTTCACTGGTTTATTGAAACTATACCCATTTGACATAAACCAAGTACATAATTGAATAAAGAATTTAGTTTTCAATAAGTTTGTAACAATTAATTGTCAAAACCCTCTTGCCTTAGCTCACTGTACAGCCTGAAAGACGTTAGGGGTAAGGCGTCAAAATTCACAAGGAGTTCAGTATCTAGTGTGCCTTGTCGCGCGAAGCCTATTTCTCACGGTTCTGAGGCACACCCTTGTCCCAGTAGTATTCATGAGATCTCGGGCTATCTTCCCACTGGACATAAACCGGTTACGTCGAGAAAGCGTCGTGATGTGACGGTCTTCGCGTGGCGTTGTTTTCCGTGGTCTGCCTGATCTGGGTCTGTCGTTGACTCGTCCTGTTTGCCTCAGACGGTTTCTAAGGCGACTAATTGTAGACTCATGGCGATTGAAATGCCGAGCGACAGCTCTTGCCGTCATACCAGCGTGGAGCATACCTACAGCTCTTTGACGTTCTTCTAACGTCATTCCTTGGCGACTCCCCATTTGAATTTCTTCGAGTTTTAAACTGGTTATTTTGTTTGTGGTAACAGCTCAAAACAATGAGGTACATTACTCGACTCTACACGCTACCGAAATTGCCGTGCTTACGTTGCACGTGATATTCGAGTTTCTTACGCTTCGCTGATAAAATACACGGTTTCGAACAAACACAACAGATGTGTAAAGAGCATCGATAAGTACATCATTTACATATAAAAACGTCTTCATTCGAAAGCTCAAAAATAAAAAATAATAGGTGTGAAAAACTTGCTAACTTTTTTCTTTCAGTATATTATAAAATGATAAGTTAATCAACCAGATAATACAGTGTGTGTTTATATTCCATCTGTTTTAAATTACTGTTACTACACGTTCCTTTTGGATAAAAAAACTCAAACAACTAGAAGACCATGCTGACCCTGATGTGTCTTACACGAAACAGGCAATTTCGTTAACTGAAGTGCAACTATTCTTATCCGATTTTATAATTATCTGTACAGTGATAACTTAAAAATGTGACTTTTAAAAAGTAGTAAGTTAAAAAAATATATCTCTATCAATACTTTGTAAGTATTAATGCTTCAGCACTTTGACCCTGAAATGAGGTCAATATTAACACGAGATAAAGATACTAAATACAATAGACAAATGCTGTAATAATTAGAACAATGTTCTGAATTGATATAAAAATAAATATTATATTTACTCCATAAAATCTATATTCTAAAGAAAAAGAAAATTCAGCTGATTCTTTTTATATAATTTTGTCTGTTTAGTTCATTTAAAGACAATGTGGACAACGGCAAACGACAAACAACTTACATGGTATATCTCAAAAGATAAACTTAGAACAAACAGACATAAACTTTTGTGAAATCTATGACATAATGTGTTAAGAAATAAAAAATGAAAAAAAGCATCAACTCATTATACATAGTCGGAATTTCACTTGTAATTATTTTTAGATCACACAAAAATGCTTACCGGCCCAGGAAGCTGTTGTATTAGCACATGATGAGGAACAGGAAGGGACTTTAAGCCATCAATGCCGATGTATTGTTATGACTGTCAAGCCTTTTCAACTAGATAACCCACCGTAAGTCACAGCATTATTATAACACTGTGCTATCATTTTATGATATATTCTAAGTATAATATAATTGAGCTTCTTACTCAAGGTGTTGTTCCTAAGGTGCCAGCTCTAGCCTCAAAATAATGCAGATGTCACATACAAGTAAAGAAACCAAGTCGCCGTATTAACTCTCACAGTGTGGGTGCGACTTACTAAGTATATGTTGTTAGAAATGCAGTTAAATTTAATTTGGCTTAAAAGTGTTTTGAAAAAAGAAACATTGTAAACTATCTATAACAGTTATAATAAAGATCTGTATAATTATAAAAAAAAATACATTTTCTGTAAACGCGTTATTTAAAAACAATTAAAGAACATTAGCTTTATTGGCAATATACTAAAACCCGGATTTCGAATATCGTTGTGGTCTATATGCATGGCATTCATTTATATATTTTCAAAATTTTCCTTCAAGAAGGACGTTCAATGAGTATTAGGATAGATAATGGAAATGCTGTGAACGATTCTCCTATTGGTTTTGTCCATATTACGTTTATCTATTGCACAGAATGATTGTTTTTACAAAGTGTACCAGTATCCGGATGTTGAAAGCTATCCGTTTTTCTGCAATTACTGCTGACACATGGCCATCTAAATTTTGTGCATGGCTTAATAAAACTGAGCCTGCAACATTTCATAATTTTGCCGTTTAGGGTTTTCATTTGGGTTTCAGGTTTTCTCTATTTTAAGGGGAAGTAACTCATATTCACTAAATTATTTGTTCTTTTCTATCTATCTTAGGTATTACTTACTTTTTTTGTTGTTTAACATTTACAAGTTGTAAGGTTATCAAAAGCGTAGAAGCCCTGAGGAGTGAATATTGATAGATTTTTATATTGGCTTTATATACCTTAGACTGAATTTTTCTAGTTTGTTCAGTAAGTAGGCCTACATACCTATAGGTATTCTGCTACAGGAATATTCTAATCACTATGTGAAGCTTATTATTATTTTCTATGTGTTTGTATTTAAATTGTTAATAATAAAATAACATTTGGTAAAAATGAAAGGTAGAACATTAGGTGCTCCTGTGCATATATTAAAACAGAGAAAGGATAAGATCCTGAAGTTATCAATTTTAAACACTTGATATATATGCAGTTATTTATATAGTAAAGTCTTATGGAAGGTTAGGAGGGACAGTATTTGTTACTGTAAGATATATGCATTTAATGTTTAGACACTCACACAACTCAATCTTTATTATATGATATAGAATATTTGAGATTTTTATACTTTAATACTATACATTATAGTTTTCTTTCTACAAGATTATGAATTCCATCCAAGTACCAATGTTAATAGGCTGTTATATTTATTTTAAATGGAAACTGGGAATTATAAATGTAATGTGCATACATGTGTATCTTAGTATATGGATATAATGTGTATTTATATATTTAAAGACTTAGAGTTATGATTGATGAGACTTGCATTTAAATTTATAAATTTTAATACATGTATCGATTAATGTACAGATTATAGATGTTTATACACAGTGTAACTGGCTAATAATAGTATCTATAATAAAGTTTATACATTATAGTTTTCTTTCTACTAGATTTTGAATTCCATCCATTAGTACCAATGTTAATGTTAATGTAAGGA